AGGGGGGGGGGACGGAGGGAGAGAAAGAGAGATCCTGTTCGTCTTCGACTCCTTCGCTGTGTGGTGGGTAATTACTCGGCCTGCTGACTCAAGGTCGTTTCTTCTGCATCTTCGGCCGTGTGCTCGTGCGATTCCACAAGGTCGGAAACAACATTCCTATGGTACCTGCCGTTTGCTCGATTGGACATTCGCGCCGTTTATTTGCGCCGAGTTATCCCCGCGCGGCTCGCGCGTTGTCTCGCAGCCGGCCGGCCGGCCGTCAAATATTTGCGTACATTCGTCATGACACTTGCAATTTGCGCGGGATCGGCGACCGGCGCAGCTTTTTGCGACGGCAATAATTAATCTCCGCTCCTTATCGATATCTCGTCGAAACGAGATTTGTCACGCGTTCACCGCGCTCCACGCGCGCCTAGTGCGTTATCACATCGTGTCGCAATATCCACGGCGCAGTCATCGTGCGTCCATTCCAACGGCGAAGTACTTGGCCCACTTCACGGCGCGCGTTGTTAAAGGGATTGCTAAACGTCTTCTCTAAACCGTGCCAATCGACCGACGACTTTGCTGGGAAATGCAACTGGGCCCCTTGGCTGTCGCGCTGGACATGCGACAGCCAGGAATTTGAATGATTGGCGGCGGCGTATGCTTGCCTCCGCCAACAGCGAGAATCGTCTTCACCTCTGTCTTTCATTCGCGCGCTTCATTCGTATTCCCACGACGTCTCTTCACTTTTTCTTCATTCGCGAATGCAGCTATGAAATCACGTTCGTTCTCAGTGAAGAGTTCAGCTCTCATTCAATGAGAGGTATCAGTAGCTGAGAGTCTCTCTAATTAAATCGCAAGAGAAGTGCGCGTGGAAAATATTAATTGAACAATAAGGAGAAAAATGAGATTTGCGTGCCGTCTTTCTCTTTCTGGGCGTTGAGAGGCGGCAGCTGAGTGCCTTTGTGCTTGTCTGTCCTATATGGAAGATTAATTCATTTCCGATCCTTCAACGACAGCAGGACGGACGCTGTGAAAATTCATTTCCGCGCCTCTTATGCTCGTTATATTCTGTTCGGCTTGAATGTTAGATCTCCGTTCGTTCGGTTTCATGTCAAAAGTGGCCAGGCCACGGAAACCGGAAGCCGGCTAGCCGAGGCGAGCCGAGAGGACATCCGCCCTTTAAAGTTCTAAGTGGAATCTCGACTTGCGCAAATTGTTGGAACACGTGAACGTAACAAGACGGGTGTCTTAATACCAACGTTGTGAAACAGAGATTATTGCGGGGATTGAAGATTCTCCAAGATGTAATTGACTAATGATTAATAAAACGAAATGAAATGGGGAGAATACTTCCCTGCTTAAAAAATTTGACAGAGTTACATAAGAAAAATCTATACAACAGAATCGTGTTTTTTATGAGAAATGATAGAATCATATAGAGAAGGACGTATATTCATATGAATATTTAAGTGTTAAAAGTAAGTACGATATAAAACGAAAGAAATTGATAATTTTTTTAACTGCAGTGTGAAAAATTGAAATTTCTGGTAGAAATGATGAGTCCCGATAAAGTCGTTTAGTATTTTAACCCTTGTCAGATTTTTTAAGTAGGATTTACTTCAAGTCTATTTAAAATACCAAGAGAACAAATGCCATCATCTTGTGAAAGGAAAAGAAGGAGGAGATATTAAAAAAAGAGAATATCAATAGGATTTTAGAATTGATTGTGCAAAATTTATCTAATTATTTTTGCAGTAGCTTCTTTTGTGCATATATCACAAATTTGATCGTCGTCTTTATACTTTTTACACTTTTATCGATTCTATTTCTGTCACATATTTATCTATAAATCGCGACTCTTATTTTTGTTTGCAGAATGGATATCCAGCGCGACGACGTTCTCTCGTGGACGATGCCCGTTTTGAGACGCTGGTCGTCAAGCAGACGAAGCAAAGCGTGCTCGAGGAAGCTCGACAGCGGGCGAATGGTGAGCTGTGCATGAATACTTTTCCCGGTGATGATTATTCGATGTCATATACAGTTTGCCCAGTGCCAGACATATTTTTGTTAGATATGTATTATGTTAGATATATCCGTTATAGATGTGTAGAGCTTGAAAAGTAGATGAAACATATTTTTGTGTTGCGCACGATTTTGCACCCTAAGAGATCACGATGGCTGCGTGAATGTTTTACATGCGCGTTGCATGACACGTTTCTTTGTTATCGAACAGACACGAATGTCGATCAGACGATCACTTGCGCTCAAGAAGAACAAGGCCAGGGAGAGCATTACACCGACGTTTCATCAAGCGACGATGAACAGATGGAGTCGTTGGTCTGCGCGGCGAAGAAGCAAGGTTTGTACATCTCAATGTCGCATAAGTTATCGCGATCTTTGGACAACTGGAGCGTGATACACATTCCGCGAGACGTGATCGCGTCGATGGCCATTATGAACGTGAGAATAATACCGCCTAATGAGAAAAAATGCTCGCGTTTGCCAAGAGCATTCACGAGACACGTGATAACATCGTACACGTCGTATTCTGTCGGAATGTTGAGGGGATGCCAAAGTGGATGACGAACAATGTCGACAACGTGGAAGTGATTGTTATTAACACGATCATACTACCTTTTCTTTCACATTTCTTATATACATATACATCTTACATAGATGTTATTTTATCACATTTAGCGGAAAACCTAATCACGCACACATATAAGGAAATCTTTGCAAACTTTTCGTACATTTTTAAGCTTCTAAATTCAGTAGTACAATAATTCAGAGGTACAATAATGTTCTTGGAAACTTTCTTGAGTGGAGTAAACACGCGTTCGGCATGTATACAAGCTGCTGAATTTTTTTGCATCAATCAAATACTTGCGCCAACTGATAGCTCGAGATGTCAATTTTGAAATTTTTATTGTTTACATCATATATCGAGCAATGTTTCAATTCCTTTTATTCATGTATATTGTGCAAGAGCATTTGCAATTCTGTGTGCAAACGATACGGCGTGAACTTTGCGGAAAAGGTCAGTACTTTGTCGGTAAAGTTTCCAACTATGGCATCCCCTTAATGACATTTTGCAAAATGGGCGTCGACCACTTAATGTCCATGAGAACGTCTCTGCTTCTCTCGTAAATGTCGCACGTGGCATGAGCATGAATTTTATTTGTGACTTGCAGAAGCAAAAGCCGAGGCCTCATCGGACAGCGACGGGAAACCGGATGACGATTACGATGACGGTAAGTGTATCTTCTATCCCTCGGTTCGCGTAATTGGTAGTCTACAATATTCGCGTCGTTTACGATCTCTCCCTCCCTCTTTCTCTCTTTCTCGCGAAATGTCACTTACGCGCGATATAAGTGGAGCGCGAAATAGCCGAGCGCGAGCTGCCGGCGAAGGCGAAGCGCGTGGCTCACGGTGGAAGGGCACAGGGTGAGAGAGGGTGAAATGGAGGGTGAAACGCTTGCCATTGTCGACGGAGTATACGCGGGACCAGGCCGAGTGCTTGGCCGACACTTGGGTGAATTACGTCTACGAGCTCTTTTCGTCTCTTTCCAACCAACTGCCGCTCTTCGAAGTCGCTTTATGCATTTAGAATCGTATTACCGTAGGAGAGCCTTTCTCCAGAGGCTGCGAGCGACCCCGCGTAGCCGCAGTAAACGTGTAATACGGTTATTCCTTTTCGCACGTCCTACCCTCCCTCCGCTCGCCGGCACGTCCGCGCCCGTGACAATGAGGGCTACTTTGCCGTTCTTTCGCCGCCCCCGCGGCTGAACGGACGCGCCAGCGTTTCCGACGTGACGGCACAAGGCGCTGCGCGGAAATGGACTCTAAATTGCCCACAGCGGAAGCCACTTAGGGCTTTTCGCGAGAAGTCGCGCCCAAGAAGAATCGTCCCGCGAAAATTCTCACGAGCGAATTTGCGCAGCATGTGTTTCTTTTTCCTTTTCTTTTTTTATCCGGCATATCGACAGGGCACTCGTGCTTTGTCAAACATCGCGCATCTTGTAAAGCATGATATTGCTGCTTGGCGTAAAAAACCTTGGACAAATTTTGAGAACTAAAATATGTCATATCACTTATATATATAAAAAATTTTAAAATATATATATAATATATTAAAAATTTGCTATATTTTTAGCGAAATTTGTTATAGCAAAACTTTTGTTTTTAGCAAAACAAACCTTTCTGACAGTCTGTTCCTCCACCTCTAGAATATTTCACCAGAAAAATAAAATTGAAAAGAGAATTTATATGAAAGAAAGCTATAATATTTTCTCTCTGTACATTTTCCCAATGTCTTAAAAAGCACATCATTGAACAGCGTCGACGCAAAGGATTGTGCCTCTAAAAATAATCTTTCATCTTTGTTAAGTCCCTCGTTACTAGTCGCGAAGGGCCTAGAATCCATATAAAAATGAGCAAGGTTCCTTGCTATTGTTTCATAAACGTCGGGTAAAATTTGAATACGATAACTGAAATTGTGAAGATTCTCCAACATATTTGCGAAACGAGACGATTCTTTCCAGATGCCGGACTAACCGAAGAGGAGGTAGTGCTCGCTAAGACCATAGCTGAGTCGCCGGAGAGCGAGCACAGCGTGCAGAAAGCGGCGCTGGTGTTGCGATTGCGGGAGGGCATCGGCTCCTTGGGCAGGATCTTGAAGACGATCGAGAATTTCAAGGGCACGGTCACTCACGTGGAGTCACGGCCCTCCAAGAGGGAGGGCGTGCAGTTCGAGGTGCTCGTCAAGGTCGACATGAGCAGGCAGAGCCTGTTGCAGCTGATTAGGAATCTGCGACAGAGCTCGGCTCTGGACGGCGTGACCTTGCTCGCCGACAACTCCGTCAGCATCAAAGACCCCTGGTTCCCCCGCCACGCTTCCGATCTCGACAACTGCAACCACCTGATGACCAAGTACGAGCCGGATCTCGACATGAACCACCCGGGTTTCGCCGACAAGGAGTATCGCGCCCGACGCAAGGTCATCGCCGAAATCGCCTTCGCTTACAAGTACGGCGACCCGATACCCAGCATCCCCTACACCGAGACAGAGAACGAGACCTGGTCGCGCGTTTTCAACACCGTGCTCGATCTTGTGCCGAAGCACGCGTGCGTCGAGTACCAAAGGGTCTTCAAGAAGCTACAGGAGGAGAGGATCTTCGAGTCCCATCGTATCCCGCAGTTGCAGGAGGTCAGCAATTTCTTGAAGAAAAACACGGGATTCACTCTCCGACCGGCCGCCGGTCTCTTGACGGCGCGGGACTTCTTGTCTAGCCTTGCCTTCAGGATATTCCAAAGCACTCAATATGTTCGCCATATCAACAGCCCATACCATACTCCTGAACCGTAAGTACTCTGAAGTTATCACAACCTTTGATTTAACATCCTTAGTTTTGGGAAAATGAAGTCCTTTTTTGTCAACCAGATGTATAGTTCATCTTTATTAATTCAAGATAGATCGACTGACAAAACTAATATTCGCGAACAACGAAGACAACATAGAAGTTTAAATCAATTGTTTGTGATCATTTTTACAAGCAACCTAATTTCATTAAATTACTGAGATAGACTTCCATGATTATCACGATGTAAGACAATCGATAACTTTGCAACTTTTTTAATTATAAGAAACAAGTATGCTGCAGTCAGTCATTAAATTTACATCATACAATATTGTACATTTTTTGTTATGTTGATGCAGCTTTAAATTTATTAAGGGTTACATTCAGATTTCCATATTATATTTTACATATTGTTTTGAGCAAACTTTGATCATTGTTTTCGTATTTCTATTTCATCTTTCTATGTGACAAAGATGAATGCCGTTTGGACTCAACTTTTATACATTGACTAGTAAAGTTGTACCAAATTTTATGCAAATAGTACTTGTCTTACTTGTAATATATAATACTTGTCTATCTTGATATTTAAAGATGAATGAAGATTAAATTCCGCCATTTTATAGATTGTTTTGGCCAAAAATTTTGACGATTCGATATTACGAAATCAAATAGAGAAGAAATCATATCGGGGATGTATAAAACTGCGCGACACATCTTAAAAATCGCGCATTGTGAAGGTCGGGACCGTTCAGGTTCGCATCACTACTGTCCCTTCGTGTCAAACTGCAAGGCAATCGATATTGCGTTATGACGGGAGCCTGCGCCCCGGTACACAGAGAACGATGATAATAGAATTACCGCGCCTCTCTAAGCTCGTAATGGAACTCTAATTGGCTTTTAACGACGCGATGACGTTGATAACTGAGTTCCGCAGTTACGAACTCGTTTCTCCGCGTAGCGAGCTGCGTGCGATTTCTGTTGCCGATAGCATCGCCGGCTTGCAAGAATGAAGTGGTTTCTCGAGTTGCAATTCGATTCGCACCATTTATCCGACGACACGTTAATTTATACGCTCACTCTGATTTGCTCAATAGGACTAAAATCTTGCAGCCAACACGAATTAAGCGTCGAACGTCACGACCAGTTAAATTGACAATCAAATTATGTATATTTGTATTCGGAATCAACACAAACGACAGACTTAGGGTCGTGGCATACAGAAAAATGTGAGCAGTAAGGAAATTGACTAATCACAATCTTTATTTATTCTATTTATTTTTTATACTAGTTTCTTAAGTCGTAAGAATTATTTTTGGACACCGTGTACATTCAGAAAAATACTATTTCACTGTTAAGAACAAAGTTACTCCGTTTACTTTCCTTCTTTTAAATAATTGTTTCAATTAACTTCTACAAAGAATATTTGTTTGATAATGGTTTTAATATATTCGTCAAAAAAATGTCGAAAATTTCATTATTATATATTTTCTCTCAAGAGAAGAATTTATTTTCCTTACAAGAATATTATAAATTTTTATAAAAAAAATTTGGTTCAACTTTTTGTAATAAGCAAGTCGAATTTTTATTTTAATTTGATATTGTAATTTGAAATGCTAAACTTATTAGGATTCAGAATGATTTTAAATTAGATTTTAAATTTAATACTTATGATAAATTTATGATAGATTTACAGATATATGTAAACTTATATATGAAATATATTTAAAACAAGTGACATTTGCTTGAGTGCAATATGTATTTTTCTAATAAGAAAAGTTATCGACTGTTAGGGTGAATTTACTTACTGCTTGTCTATATGCCTCTAGTTTAAGCGCGAATTGTTAGATTTTAAGACCGACGTATGAGTTGTCCTTCAGTCGCGTTTCATTTTCTGTTTGTAGAGATTGCATTCACGAGCTCTTGGGTCACATGCCGCTTTTGGCCGATCCTAGCTTCGCTCAGTTCTCGCAAGAGATTGGTCTGGCGTCTCTCGGTGCCTCGGACGAGGAAATCGAGAAGCTGTCGACCATTTACTGGTTCACCGTCGAGTTCGGCCTCTGCAAGGAGGGTCCTGAGGTCAAGGCTTATGGTGCTGGCTTGTTGTCGGCCTATGGCGAGCTGTTGCACGCGTTGAGCGATAAGTGCGAGCACCGAGCTTTCGATCCGCCAAGCACCGCTCTCCAGAAGTACCAAGATCAGGAATATCAGCCGATATATTACGTAGCCGAGAGCTTTGAGGACGCCAAGGAGAAATTCCGTCGTTGGGTAAGAACAAAAATCCCACAATTATCTTTTCTCTCTTTATTATTCTATCTTACATGTCAATCTTCTTCAATTCTCTTCAATTATCACTTCAGTTATCTCATATTTCTTCGTTTCTCAATGAATAATTGCAAATTATTCTTTTACTGTTTCGACCTTTTTTTCTGATTGCATCAGTTTTAGCTTTTCGTAACTATTCATCAACCCAATTTAGTGATTGACAAATATAACTGGTATAAATTAGTCTAATCATAATTCTTGTTTCTCCCGCAGGTGGCCACCATGAGCCGGCCATTCGAGGTCAGATTCAATCCGCATACACAGCGCGTCGAAGTTCTCGACAGCGTCGACAGGCTGGAAGGTCTGATGGCCCAGCTTAACACCGAGATGACCCACCTCACGAACGCCATCACCAAAATCAAGGCATCCTTTGCGTAAAAACGAGAGCTCCCGCGTCTTCGTTGTACCGATTCGGTTATTCCTCCCGCGAGCCACCGATCCCCGAAGTCGATCGTGCTGTTGATCGATTTAGATTAAACAATCTTCCTCGAGCTGTTCGATGACAATAACTTTGGAGAGTTTGCCAGATGGTAGTCGATAATTACGAAGTATGTTTCTCTTGAAAATTGCGGTAGAGTATTAATGGCGCATTTCGAAAAGCTTGTCGTCTTCATCAATGACTTCGAGACAATTCAGACGGTCGCGAGAGACATTTCTTTCGAGTGTTCAACTGTATCGAAGAGTCTCGGCTTCTGGGCTCGGTGGAGCATGTCATCTCATCGTCATCTTCATCGCGCACATCAACTCGTCCCTCACTCTGTGTACAAAGTCGTTCATTCATGTCGTACGCGTGTACGTGTATCGTATCAGTGACACTTTTGGGACTTGCTCGGATAATCGTTCGTTTTGGATGTATAATTGGACACGCGTGAATGAAGTAATTGATGATAGCCCGATGTTTGTTCTTGAATACGTTTTCACGAGGTGTTGAATGGACGCTAAAGATGTAATCGCGAACATTTATCTTCATATAAACAAGATAATTGTTTGTTTCAGTTATGTAACGAAATATTGGCTGATGAAGTAATCTGTAAAAGTCCGATATTTATTTTCGGGAGCACATTCGCGCAAGGTGTTAAATGGGTGCTAAAGACATGATCGTGAATAGTTATCTTTGTATAAACAAGATGACGTATACGACATTGTTTTCTTTCTTTCTTTTGTTCTCGCTAATGACTACACATGCACGCGTACGATTTTCACGTTACTATTATTATTATTATTAATTATATTATTATCACTTTGTTCTATTCTACATGATATTGTATTATTATAATTAGCATGTTATGCATAAATTCGCTTAATCCAGCAGACACTGGCATCTGCCCCGATGTTTCGTAGTACAGTTCACGTTTGGCCAAGCTGTATCGCGAGATAATTATCGTCAAGAGTGATCGTAGTCACTGAACTCTTCGTAGAATTCGCGGGACCGACTTCTCGTTGTTCACTGATCGATAGAGCTCGTTGTTCGTGAACGTGCAGTATTTCTCTCTCGTCACAAGTGAATCGACATATCGTGGCTGTACGGAGTCAGGCAGTCTCTCGGACCAGCCGATAAAGGCAGACGATTGTAACGGGCTGTTTACGTCGGCTCGTCGCTCTTAATTTAGAATTTACGTGTATAGAAGTAAACAGTATTCCGTAAAGGATATCTTTAAGTTGTGTTCTTACGTAGGTAGTCCGCATTCTAGGCGCCGTATCTCTCTTCTGCTCGCGAGTTCTTTGGAAATCTATATAGTTCCCGAACAGTTCCCGGGAGTTACGATGTTGCTTTAGAGAGGCACTGTTTAGCGAGTAGTGCGAATCCTACGCTTCGCGCACGCAACGTTATCCCTCTATCGCTATCGAGACTCGTACGGAAACATCTTCTCGTACGTGCGCGCAACCCACCCCACTTAGGTAGTAGTAAAAGCGGTCGATACACATGACACGTTTCCTTTGTATTATATTGTAAAGTACTCAGAGCATAATAAAAAATTAAGATATAAATCTTACACGGTTACTTTATGCCGCGAATGCGTCGATCGAATAACCAGAATCCTGTATAGACGCGCGTCGCATAATTACCGGCGCAATTATCAGATCGGCGTAATTAACATGTGACAGTTGTTAACTCGTCTCACAAGTGTGATACTCAGATGTGTATTTAGAGTTGCATGAGAATTCTTCCGTTGAATCGCGACTATACACAGAAAAATATCACTCTACTGCTAAGGAAAGTGATTAATCAGTTTATTTTTCTTCTTTTAAGTAATTTTTATCTTTAGCAAAGAGTATTTTTTTCATATAATAGTCTTAAAATATATTTATCACAAATTTGAGAAGAGCTCGTTATTATGTACTACAAAAAATTTATTCTTTTTACAAATATATTGTAAAACTTTATCGAAGAAAAGTTGGTTCAATTCTATGTAGTAAGCAAACCGATATTTTGTTTTATTTTATTTTCATATTTTTGATTGAAATACTAAACTTATTAGGATTCAGTACGAATTTTGAATAAATTGAATGTTCTCTCTTATGACAAAACTGCAGATATATGAACTTATTAAGTACTTGAAACAAGCACAATATTAAGCGCTGCGATCGCGGCGTGATGCCGATTACGTATCGAAGAAACAACGCGACCGTATAAGCTAATCTGGAATTTCTAGGTCGATTGGTCTTCTGAATCAAATATTTGAAGCATGGAAACTATAATCGAAAATCTGATGAAAGTTTCCTTATATGATGTTTAGTGCGCGCGTAATTTGCACCAAGTTTGATTAAGATTGATGCAGGCAACACGAATCTGGAAATCTCGCCCGCTAAAAAGTCCTTTTATTTTCGCACAGATTCTCAGATTTTTCAGATTCAGATTCGCACGCACACAAGCGAATGAGTTTATCTATCAATCAAAGCGTAGATGTTTTAAATTAATTATAATAAAAAAAGGAGTAAGATCAATATAATAAACCAAATACATATATGTAAGTACTTATTACACAAATAATTACCTGATAAGTATCAATAATATTAATAATTGAACGCTGCAATATCCAAGTATCAAATTGAGAAAAACTTAACATCGAGGATCAAAAACTCGGCGTGCCCCAATTAATAAATTCATAAATAAACTTATAAATATATTCCTACAGAAAAGTTATTTCTATATACGGCGACATACAGTCTTGAATTCATGAAACAATAATATAGATTTGCCTATAGTGAATATATATATATATATTTTTTTAATAATGTACATAAAATTATTAATAGCATTATAAACATTTATATTGAAGAATGATGTATTAATTGGGACACGCCGAATTTTTGATCCTCGATGTTAAGTTTTTCTCAATTTGATACTTGGATATTTCAATTATTAATATTAATATCAATTATTAATATTAATTTATTAATATCAATTATTAATATTAATTATTAATATTAATTTTAATTATTAATATTATTGATACTTATCACATAATTATTTGTATAATAAGTACTTGCATATACGTACTTGGTTTATTATATTGATCTTACTTCTTTTTTATAATACATATTTAATTATAATTAATTTAAAACGTCTACACATTGATTAAGTTAACATGTTAACTTTTCGTTATTTTACTTAAATGCAATATATATATATATATATATATATATATATATATATATATATATATATATATATATATAAATGTTATCATAATTCAACTGAGAGAAACTTGGATCTAACTCTAAATAAAAATCTGAGTATCTCACATGAGGCAATTTCAGGTGACAACTATTAACACGGGTCTTATACGCAATTAGCTGGACGTAATCGGAGACGCGCGAGGAATGATGTGAAATTGCCTCTTTTCTTGTTATCTGAAACGTTTCTTCGGCACGCGTGTGTCACACAATTCTCTTGCTTTTTCTGCTTTTCCGGCATACCGTGATTAATGATCGAAGGATGAGAAATAATACCTAGATACTCATTGCACCTTCCGTTGACCATGAAATCTGTAGTCCTCATCATCGCGCTCGTTATACAATACGCGTCTTTTAAATTACGGAACGAATACGGTAAGAGAAAGTGGTGTCTTCTCGTCGCCAAAATGACTTCCCTCTTCGCTCGTCAGGTTATTTGGACAAGACGTTCTGTGTACTCGAATGGATCGCCTACCTGAAGCGCCTCTCGTTTATCGCGTTAATACTGTGTGGCGTCGTTCTGTATTACGTGCCCAAGTCACGTTCACGTGAGTAGCGAAAACGTGAAAAAAACATCGGGTGAAAGGAGAAAGAAGGAAAGAGAAAAAGAGAGAGTTATTTACTCTCTTTTATTACCATCCATAATTTTATATTACTTTCTGAATGTAATTTGGCTGCTTACGAAATCTTGAGTATATTTTCTAATAGCGAGAATGCTCGTGACACACTGTCAAGCGCCCATTCGGTATTTGTATTTGAAATGTTGTATAATAGGATATATGTGTATTTATGTTACGAAATACTCTCAGAATCTTGACTCAAAGAAAATATATGACAAAATACGTGACGAAAATACTAACGTGTTTTCTACACACAGAAAAGTAACAATCTACTGTTGATATCCGTTGACTTCTCCAACGTCAATTAAATCTTAAACTGGATTTAATCTGTCTTTAGATAAAGATATAATGCAAATTAACGTTTAATCAATATTTAAGAACGGAACCGCTTGAGAAAAGCGATTACTCAGTTTACTTTCGTTTTTTTAAGTAATTGTAAATTTCAACAAAGAATTTTCTTAATAGCGGTCTTAAAGTATACTCATAACAAATTTTAGAAAAGTTCAATATCATTTATTCAAAAAAAGAATTCTTTACAAAAATACCACAAAAACTTTATCGAAAAAGCTGATTTGAATTTATGTAGTAAACAAATTGAATTTTTGTTTTAATTTAATATTCTCGATTGAAATGATCAATTTACTACGATTCGGTATTTATAATAGATGAATAAGTTGCACAAATACATTGCAAATTACACAAATTTATGTAATGTTATAGTTATCTTATATTATCCCTTATAATTAACTATATTTAATTATATTATAATTATAATTAATTATATTATAATTAATATTATAATTAATTATAAATGGGGAAATGTTTCTTTAGTTGTTCGTAGAGCGTGTTGCTCTTTGATAGATCTCGTCGCAAATGGATTGAAATTCGTTCTCAGCATGACCGAAAATGCGTATGAGGATAAAAAAGCGAAGACTAGTCAGCAAGATGATCAGCTTGAGACACAGTCGATTCAAGAACTATATAAAAAAATACATGTAAACGATACCAAGCGTCATCGTGAACAAGAGCACGTCAATAAAATAGATGATATAGATGACAGCGATAATATGATGAAGAGGTCAGTTATACTTTTACACACAAATATCTGATCACTTTTGTTCCATGTTTACATAATCCGCTAATAACTCGTAGAAGGACAACATGTATCTGCATCGAAAGAATGTAGCTACATTAGCGCGGGCACCGAGAATTGATGTTTTCGAGCTCTGATAAATACAAAATTTTTGTAGAAAGTGGAAGAAGAAGCAGTCCCATGCAAAACTCAACGTTGAAGAGAAATACCAACGATACAACAATCACAACCGCCATCATCACCATCATCGTCATCATCAAAATGCAGACATCAAGGACGTATCGTTGAGATCCTGTGCATTGATGCAGCTAACCTTGTACGTACGGCTCGACGAATTCCAAGACTTAGTAAACATGTTATATTACCAGGTTTGACAGGATCGAGTATTTCAACACATTCATCACTTAATATTACACATTTTCGATTAGGAGACAGACGCCATCATGTAGCATGCCTGATCGTTGACAACTCAATTTGACATCTAAATAATGCCTTAACCTTAGATTAAATATGTTTAAGAATTAAAATTCTATTCTTCATCACGTCAATTTGATGTATATCATGGAAAATACGGGGAAGACAGCAATAACACTCATATTTCTAATTTTTCACATTATTAAAACAACAGAAAAGAGGAAAGAAGGATTGGCTTTAATGAGTTGCATACGTCAAAGAGACGTAGATGAGTATTGGGTTAAAGGCGCAATTTAGCGACTTTATTACCGATTTATATAATTTGTACAAGTTTTACGAAGAAACGAAACGGTATTGACATTTGCAGGAAGAGGCCGCTGCAAGTGACGATGATCGACGAGGAACGTAAGAATGACAATTCATCAATTCTGCAGGATGCCTCCTCGAAAACGAGAATAATGGCGTGCAACGTGAAAGCGGATAACATGAAAGATGATACTAATCTGCGACAAGAAAAACTTACCAGAGATCATGAAGATTATACTGCAAAAAATATTGTACGAATATAAATGGATATATGAATATTAATTACTATTAAGGCTGCGTTGTGAACCGTCATCAAATATATTTATGATTTCGGATGCAACAAGTCATCGATCAGCGGAGAAATAATCGTTGTTTCTGACGTTTTTGACGTTGTAACGACTGTAGTAACGGAGAGAGATAATTTTAGAATAGACAGGATGTCCGGTAATTCACGATTCAGATTAGATTAAATAGAACAAAAAATTCTTTTACCATTTTGCGAACAACCATATCAAATTTTGAGCTATTAATCAAAGAAGATTCGTGAATCACGCGCCATATGGTAAATGAGTTGTGATGGCGACTTCTGCTGCTGTATGCTTGTATATTAGATCAAACAAAACAAAAAAGTCCTCTACCATTTTCCATATGACTACGTACATGTTTAATTATTAATTAAAGAAGATTGGTGTACAGTTGTACACATTAATGTACCAATCTTCTTTAATCTAAAAATCTACATAGTCATTTAAAAAATGGTAGAAAACTTTTTTGTTCAATTTGACTTAATATAAAATCATACAGCGGTAGATTTCGTCATCACAATTCATTTACCGTATGGCGCATGATCATTCACGAATCTTTCTTGATTAATAATTCAAAATTTTACGTGGTTGTTTGCAAAATGGTAGAGGAACTTTGGTTCTATTTGATCTAATCTATTTGTACATCTCAGCTTTTTCGTGAATTACCGGACACTCTGTATAGTAACACATATATGCGCGTGATATTATTTTATATTAATTCAGTTATAAAATTAATTATAAAATTCCGATCAAGATATACGCAATTTTCTGAAATGTTCCAACAAATGGCGTATTTAATTGCAACGTTTTATTTTTTCTGAATTATTGCTAATACAAATTTTTATCGTAGATGAGAGAATCTTCTTTGCACATGAAAACAGATATAAACGCAGTTTCCGCGATCGATGGTAAAAATGACGTGAAGCAAAAACTGGTGTGTGGAAGCACCGAGCAACATCGTCAAGATTGCACTCACGTCAACGATCGTTTATCGATAATAGTTCCCGGCGATACGATGGCGGATTCTCGTTACGGTAATTGATATTTTACATGTGCGAATAAGTTACTAATTATGATAATTTATTACTGAAAATTACAGAAAATTACTGCGTAGGGAGAATAACAAAACACGAGTTACGTGATAGATTGCAGATGGAGAATCGTCGACTTTTTGATGATATAAAGAGTATAACCGACGATTGTTATGAGGATGTATCGATTGTAACAAGTATGTTATGATGAAACCTAATAGGATCTGATAGAAAATATACTACACTTTAAGTATACTACACACAGAAAAATACATCTTGAAAAGATTACTTGTTTCAAATATTTCGTAAGTTTATATATCCATAAATAAATCATAAGTTCATTGTAAGCATCAAATTTATTCAACATAAATTCTAATAAGTTTAACATTTCAATCAGGACTATTAAATTGAAACAAAAATTCAGCTCACTTACTACATATAGTCGAATCAGTTGTTTCTTTGAAAGTAAATCAATCGTTTTTTGAAAGATAAAATTTTAGAATTTTTTTGTAAAGATAAATTCTTTTAAATATATGGGCTTTTCTAAAATTTGTGATGTGTATATTTTAAGATAATTTTCTAGAAAATATTTTTTGTTGAAGATACCATTATTTAAAACAAAAATTACAAAAAACAATAATTAGTAATACTATTACTTAAAAGAAGAAAAGTAAACTGAGTAATTGTTTTTCTTAACAGTAAAATAAAATTTTTCTGTGTGTACATTTTAAATCCTAAGATTTAATATTTTAATCAAAAATATTGAGACAAAAGTTCGGTTTACTTTCTATATAGAGTCGAGAGAACTAACTTTTTTCAATAAAGTTTTTAATATTCTTGCAAACAAAATAAATTTTTCTTTTGTATATATGATAATGAATTTTTCTCAAATTTGTGCTAAGTACATTTTAAGACTATTGTCAAAAAATTATTTTTGTTGAAAATAACTATTACTTAAAAGAAGAAAAGTAAATTGTGTAATCCTTTTTTTTAACAGTAAAATGATATATTTCTACGTGCATACTTCATTTTAAGTGTTGAAAGTACCTACGACAAGTTAAACATTCATGAGAGGCTTCAAAAGAAGTTTGATAATAATTTGAATGGATTCTCAACATCTTCTTGCGATAATTATTGTAATTAATCAATTATAATCAACTATAATCTATAGATTTTAATTATAAAATTCCGGTTGAGATACACGTAATTTTCTGAAATGTTCCAGCAAATAACGTATTTAATTGCAACGTTTGAATGTATATTAAAAATATGTTTATTGACGTGACATTATAATAAATTATAACAATTATCGTAGTGAATGGATGCAAATTAACTTCAGGGAAACTCCAAATCCATTTAATGAACTCGTTACTCAGATCGAGTGAAACCTGTCCTGTTGAGAATCGCAAACTGGTTCTTCGGCGGTTGCCCAGAAGCGTCGAGACGACTGCGCGAATAAGTCGAAGAGGTCGGAAAGGAAGAAATTCCCGAGTCCATGTAACTCTTTTAAGTGACTGGATTGTATCTACCGCTGCAAATATCGGAGCTGTCGATAAATGTAGAAAATGTTCGTACCGTTTCAAACCGAGAGAGTTCCTTACCTCGCTTGCAGTAACGAATGTAATTATAACATGTCGTGTTGTTAGACCATCGACAATTGCAAAACAGTATTTTCCGTGTGCAGTTACGGTCCGACTCTTACCGACGCGTCCTGTTTGCGTTACTTAACATGCGACCGAAGTGAAATTCGTATGTACTCTTTGTCTTCAATGCTTCCTCCGTTCTTCCGATGACCGTAAAATAAGTGTCAAAAAACTGTTATTCACTTTTCGTGTCGACAGTCTTACAGACATGAGACGAAGAATATGGTGTCCAAAGATAGAATCTTTAAAGACTTCTAAGACGAAGCAATCTTCAGGACTAGATCTAGACTTGAAGGTGTCTTTTAGAGGCCTTTGAGACATCTTTTAGTAAGTTGTGCTGTCTGAGAATATTCTTGAGTTTAAGAGAATATTCATATTTCATAAGAATAGTCATAAAAAAAAAATATATATATATATTTTTTTGTGTTATCTGGTCTATGTGTTTGCTCTGAGAGCAAAAATATCTAAGAAATAAAAAAATATTTACTCGATGTAAGTACTAGTAACATATTTATTTGTAATATAAAATAATTAATATAATTAATATAAAATAATTTTCAAATAAGGAAATATATGTTTTCCTAAGACTCTTTAGCTTTTTATGAGAGCAATTATTTATTGCATTCAAATAAAAGAATTTAGATTTAAGTAAATATGGTATTAGTGCTCATCGAATAAACATTTTTTATTTATTTTTTAAATATTTTTCTTTCAATATAGCCTCCTATATGACCTATTGCTCATTGTTTCTCAATCCTTCAGAAGAAAGGATTAACACGTTTTCATGGAAAGTTACGCGGATATCAATTTACCGGTTTTCTAGTAGCTTCAACTTTTTATAGTTGTCATTAATCGAGAATTTGAGAGAGATTTTCTAGTAAACATTGATTGCTATTCGGCTCCTCGACGTCGCGACGAGGCGCGGCGCGGACGTCCGCTCCAATTTTATCCCAACGCTAAGACGGCGCGTCGCGCCGCTTCGTAACTCGGAGGGACATCGGCCGTTTCGTATCTCGACCTTCGCGTGCGCGCACATCTGTACCGGAAGCGGGTAGCGCGTGTACGCGGCTTAAGAGCAATAAAGGAACCTCGCGACCTGCCAGAAGAGAATGGGACGAGACAGTCGCGCCGGGACCAAGAGCCGCGGCGGTTCATGCTGCGAATTCAAACGAGACTCTCGCCGTCCACGTGACGACGCGCGCGTTCACTTGTGATTCGGACCTCTTTCTTGGATGATCTCTATGATTCGATCGGGTCGACCAGCAAACAGGTGTGCTATGCACAGTTACCGCGGGCAAGTCACGTTCGTCCTTTGATCCTCAAGCCGCGAAATTATTAATTGCCAATGGCTAATTGCATGAGTCGCTTCGTGTCGCGCTCGCATTAGAGTTATGCATTCCCGTCGACACCCCGCCAGCAATTCGATCGAGATACGATCCGACAGAAGATCCTGCAAAGGGCGACGGTGAGAAAATAACGGGCAATCGGGCGACAGAAGTAAAGGGCATCTTAGCTAATCGGTAAGTACACATTTTAGCTGGAGTATTTTACGCATACTAATTGTAAGGTAAAACATTCAATTATTGTCATACTTCTTAGTTATTGAATACTCTAGAAGAACCTGATTTCTCTTGCAATCATCTGCGGATGTTTACAGTTTTAGTTGTAAAGATCTTTTTTGGAATCGTAGAGTACAAAAAACTAACTGCAATGTTAGCCTTAAGAAATATCAGGTCATTAGAGTGCCAATGATTAAGGCGGAGTCAATAATTAGGTGTTTATCTTATACAACTAGAAGATGTTTATCTTATACAACTAGAAGGATGAATCACACAATCATTGACATTGATACTTTAGAAAAACCTGGTTTTCCTTATGATCAGCGGCATTTGTTAACAATTATTTAGCTGTAAAGATCTCTTTTAGAATTACAGAATACAAGAAATTTAACTGTAATACTGATGATTTACAAAAAAGGTCAGATTTTTCTAGGATGTCAATAACGAGATGTCAATACCATGCTTACTAGTCCTTACTACTTAATACTAGTCCTACAAGTAATAGAGTAAAATTACTGACATTCCTTTTAGTCATTGATACTGCAGGAAAACATGGTTTTCTTTACGATTAGCGGAATTTGTTCATGATTTTAGTAGTAAAAATGTTTTTTAGAAACACAAAGTGCAAATAGCTTAATTGCAATACTCATCGCAAGAAAAATCAGATTTTTCTAGAGAGAGTGTCAAGAATTAAAGGCCAATTTTTCAATAGTAACTTAAATTTAAGTTCAAACTGGTGTTGTGAAAGATTGGCCCGAAGGAGTTGTCAATAATTGAATGTTTTATTTTTTACCATACAATAATCTGTATAACATCTGTTTAAAAGATATCTTAGATAAATCTAAAAGATATCCTACTTGTTTTAGGGATCTTTAGGCTGCCTCTAAACTGTATTTTAAATATTTGTGCTGTTTATATTGCTGTTTATATTGTGCTGGAAATAGTAAATGATAGGAAGAGAGCGCGTATGTTTCCAGATGTTATGCGTTCTGTTGAAATCAGTTGCTTCACGTTGCATTATTATTTTTTATCAATGATGTCACAGTACATCGGCGACATCTCGAGAGCATACCTTCACGTGAAGATTATTGAAAGTCTTTCTAAAGAAGCACAAAATAAGATCCCTAGTACTCTACGCGCTCATATTGTAATAATTCCCATGCACTTTTTAACTGATACTTTTCACATGACACGATTACTTCTTAGAGATTAAGCGATGCCACGGTAATCGCAAGGTAAACCAAATGAAGGGAGGGCAACTTTTCGCGCAACGATCGGTGAGAAAGTACCTCCCCCCGTCGCAAGAGAGAGGCCCCGTTTACTTATTTAAATACCGTCCGCTGACATTAGGCGTGCGCTCATTTGCATATCTCTGCGTCATTATATAGCGGCGCTTATATTTATATACCTGCACCGTACGATCACGGCTACTTTGTTATGCGGTGAAATGCCCCGAGACCCGTTAACGCGCATTCATTTGCGAAAGTGTGTCGTTAAGTACATCGGCGCAGACTTTAGCGCTTTGGCGATTAACCTGGTAGGCATCCGCGCCCGGTAGTGTATACCTCCTCTCTCCCGTAGCCGACGAGGATTTACTAATTATCAACGTACAGTGAATTAACAGCGTATCGTTAACATGTCCCGGAGCGCATTCAACGAGATCGATCGGGAGCTTCATCGAGTTTAGTCGCGCGAGCGATTACACGGAGATCTCGTAACAAACCGCGCTCTATCGCATCCCGTCGTATCCGTAACCCCTGCACATTGTTAGGCAGTAGAAGAAATTCCCGAGATTCCACGGGACATGTGTGTGCAAACTGTTCTATTAATGTACCCGTCACGTGTTGCCGTCTCTTCCTATCCGCTACTCGTTGTCTCTTCTTCTCGCTTTCTGCGTTTCTAGACGGGCGCGCCGCTCCTTTCCTCTTCCGAAGTGTAGCGCGACTTATTCAAACACACGCCCGGACGAGAAGCATGCGGCGGATGCCGCTTTAAAAGTGCTTTGAAAATCTTCACTTTTCTTTTTTCTTATTGCACCGAATGAGAGACAGAAAGAGAAAGAGAGAGAGAGAGAGAGAGAGGGGGGGAGAGAGACACAGGAAATGGAACAAGCGGTTCAATTATACAAGATACTAATGGGTTGCTAGTTCCACGATGAAAATTAACATTAAATCGAGAACCCATGAATTATCTCACCGGTTTGTTTATATTTTTTTAATACAGGTATGTAATTTTTTTCTAAATTTGTAGCGATAATAATGACAATCATATTTACTGAATATTTGCAAACAAATTGGACGAAAGTACTGTTGAATCAATAAAATTAGTCAACGATTCGCCGTAGTTGTACACAGAAGAATATATATGACACTCAAATAAATGTTACTTGTTTTAAGCATTTTATAAGTTTATGTACCCGCAAATATGTCATTAGTTCATTATAAGCATCAAATTTATTTAAAATTTACTTTGAATCTCAATGAGATTAGTAATTTAATCAAGAATATTAAATTAAAGCAAAAATTCGGTTCGATTACCACACATAGTCGAAATGAATTTCTCTTAGATAAAGTTTCATGATGCTTTTGCAAAGAGAAATTCTTCCTTCAGTGTGTTATAGTGAACTTTTCTCAAGTTTGTGATGAATATATTTCAAGACTATTAAGAATCTATTGAGAAGATATTCTTTTTGGAAGATAATTATTATCTAAAAGAAGAAAAGTAAACAATCGCTTTTCTTAACAGTAGAATGATATTTTTTTTCGTGTGAAATAACTTTTTGATTCAATAGTAATGTTACTGAAACTAATGTTTAAGTTATTAAAACGAATATATTATATATGGCTCTAATAATTTGAATATATTAATTTAAATAATATTGTTATTATCTAAATCAAGAATATCTATTGCAACCACGGCACGCTGTTAATCAGTTCTATTGATTAAACAGTACTTTGTTTTCGTACACAAATGATTAAACTATTCATTATAAGTTGTGTTGATCGTGATACTCGATATATTTAGAAATACATGATACATGATTAAAAAGTATTCGTAATCATTTATAACAATATATGTCAATTTTGAGAACATTTTTCCGATACGGTGGACTGAGATTAAATATGCATTTGGAAATTTTCTCAAACAGTCAAACAATTTTATTTTAACGCCGTATTGTCTAATCTTTTTTTCTTGCAGTGGTAAATGTTCATAGTATGACGTCAAATGCAATTAGAGGCATCAGAAGGAAGAAGAGTTCGCTGTGCGAAGTCAAAGTGGCTGTGATAGGAGCTCCGGGAGTCGGCAAAAGCGGTAAGTGAATGCATTTCGATGGAACCAGACTTTTGCAGTAAAAGTTTGACTTTTCCAGTATTATATAAATTTACTTTGATAAAATTATGAGATAAAAGTGTACACTTAAACTTGCACGTTTCATAACAAAACAAATATTTGCTTTCATAAAATAGATATCACAGAGAAAAGATAAAAAGAAAAGATACCGTTTCTCGCACGGATAGAAAAATGGTTTGATTACATACCGAACAAAATACCGTTGAATCGAGAATTAGCGCCACAGTTGAAATAAATCTTCTTGATTAAATAGTAATGATATTGAAACTAATACTCAAGTAATTAAAACAAACATATCATACATTGTTTTAGGCTGCATTCCGATATTCACTGCCAGTATTGAAAGCCTATAGTTCACGTTACATATACTCAGTTACATATATTCAGTACTAGCAATAAATTTTGGAACGTAGTCTTCATAACTCAAATATTAGCTTTAATAACATTGCTATTGAATCAAGAAGATTTATTCCGATCACGACGTGCTGTTGATCAATTCTGTTGATTCGACAGAATTTTTTCGGCGTACCAGCCAAAATATTTGAAAAGTATATTGCCTATACAGTCCCTGCAAAAAGTAAATGAAAATTAGAAATATTCTAATATACACTTCGTAGATAAAAACGTATGCTATATATGTATATACACAAAGAGAATTTGGTTGAATCAAATAAACACTTCTTTGGAATAGTCCAAACGAATTTTTTGATTGGTCGAACAAAATTTTGTTTGACGCAACAAAAATATTTATTTGTAGTTTAGTTCCAAAGAAATATTTTTGTTGTGTCAACTAAATAATTTGTTTGGACTATTCTAAAGAAACGTTTGATTCAATAAATCCGTTCTCTCTGTGTAGAATGTCTGACATTAACAATGAATACTATCGACATGATCAGAGTGATTTTTATTTGCATTCTATTCTCTTCTTTCTATTCTGTTCTATTCTTTCGTTTGAGCAATTGTTCAATATAGATTATAAAGGAACGTTTTTTCTAACTTTGGCGCGCTTTGATTGAAAAATTAAGGTTGATACAGAAAAATATTACCACGTTTTTCTCATAAAAAACTAAAGAGAATAAGATATATATATATACTTCGTGTACATGTATAAATCAAGTCAAACTGAACACAAAATTTCACTACCATTTTGCAAATAACTACGTAAAATTTTGAGTAATTAATTAAAGAAGGTTTAGCGGATGATTACGCGCGAGATGAGTCATAATAGAGCGATGCCTGTCATCGTGTGCTTGTAGATTAGGTCAAACTGAATAAAAAAATCCTTTATCATTTTGTAAACAACTACGTAGATTTTTAGTTAATAAGAAAAAAAATTTGTGCTTTTATCGTGCGCGAATATCCGTACAATTTTCTTTAATTAATAATTCAAGAAAATCTACGTGGCTATTTGCAAAATGGTACAGGACTTTCTTGTTCAGTTTGTTTCTGCAAGAACAGCACGGCAGGCGTCGCTATCACAGCTTATCTGTGACTTAACATATTAATAAAATATTATTGACATTAGAAACATTAATAACATTAACATGTTCGCGAGATGTACACTTCAAAGTGAACTAATTGTTGATCTACACTGTGAATCAATGTTCATTGTTTGTGATAATTTTTAGATGCAATATAGATTAATGTATAGTTTTTTCAAAATTTTTTTCATTATTTTTAAGATATAAGCATTACACTTTTAACAACAAGCTTCAGGCATCTTGATGTGCGCACCGCTACGTTTCATTTCAGTTGCGCTAATGCAAACCTAACAGTGGGTGGCGGAAAATACCGGGCGGTCGCGATAACTGTAAAAGCTCTGATCTCGGACGTTTACGAATCTGGCGCAGATCGTGAGACCTTGGCGTGCAATTAAGAACAAATTCGTTTCACACGCTGCTCGGTCGTACTACGTGCGAAGTACCGTACTCGGCGCCCACACAAGCGTTTCGCGGAAGAGAAGAGCGGTCGGGGGATGGAAAAGCGGGAGATGCGTGCACATTTCGAGGAAAAAAGTATTTCGTGCGCTAAATGTCAACGCGCTCTAAATTCAAGTGCAAGTGCGCGAGCGGCTGTTGAAGGTCCATCCTCGATGGAGATGCATATATGAGATACGCGACGGGAACCCTGAGTGTAGCCAACCGCGTGTATTTTCGGTAATGGCAAGTGTAAAGGAATAGGTGAGTAAATAATTGCTGCGTCCCCGGCGAAGCTTGCACGCCTCTTCTACTGGCCGCGAAGCGCGTGGCTGCTATTTATAAAGTTTTACCTGAAAATGCGTCTTGGATCGTCATTGAGTCACCTATTGCCTTCCGCAATAGTTCTTCGTACTCGTAATCTCATGCCGGAAAAATATTTTTCTTGCCGGTTGCAGATAATACGAACGTCTCAGAGACGTCGTCAAAGCGCATTAAAGCTGTTTATCTTCTCCGTCCATTAGACTCAAGACACAGAAATAGAAATAGCAAATTTTACATTAAGTGAATCCTGTCCAATCGAAAATGTTCAAAAGACTCCCCAAAGAGATTGTTTCTAGACATTTTAGGAGTCCTTCAATCGTGCTTCATTATGCTTTTTTAAGATTGTCGGGAATCTCTGATAGAAATGCATCCAGTTTGCGTAAACATTCGAACAATTATTGTGTAATATTAATGTATTATTATCAGTTGTAATAAAACTATTATATTGCATGAAAGGACCAAATATTGCATAAAAATAAAAAAAATTTGTTTACAATTTTTTTTGTTTTTAAGACTTGTGATAGAAATAGCAATCAAAATTAGAAATGAAAATGAGCAAAACGCAAACGGGAGGCAAATTTTTTACGTTAATAATGCAGAATTTCATTGCAATGAGAGAATACAGCAGACTATTGTATATATACAATAGACTATATACTGATGATAATGATACAAATAAAAACTGATCCAAGGATTAATAAAATTTTGTTGTAATTTTTTAAATGTAATTTTTACCATAATATTTCCTCTGTGTAACTACGTTTTTCACGGAAAATGCAAGAGAAAACTCGAACTGCGCGCAAACTCTTTTGACATTGAGATTAAATCAAGGAGAGGCGTAGTGGTATCTGAATAATCCCGCTCCACAAATTCCAACGCAAATAAACCGATCGCTAATAAATTTTCTGGCTTCGAAACATGCACGCTCCACTGTCGATCAAAACCGACTTATATTATAGACAATATATATTTCAGATATACACAAACATACACAGATACAGTATGCTCTGACGTCTTTACATCCGTGGAATTTTTATACTTTTATTTCATTTGTGAACACGAAGAGAGAGAGAGAGAGAGAGAGAGAGAGAGGGAGAGAAAGAGAGAGAGAGAGAGAGAGATTCGTATGTCGATTTTTATAAAATCGTGTTGGTAAATTTATGGTGACGCATTGAAACTGTAACACAGAAAGACTCGAAAGTTCTGCTGTCTCTACTTTTTTTTCTTTTTTGTCGAGTCGTCATGAACCGAATTTATTACAAACAAATCTCAATTGCAGTGCAAACTTTCACGAAATATTGATTTTGCGATGTAAGAAAGATTTTGCAAATTTCGTTTATATCATCTGCATCGATCGAAACATCTGTGACTCGCACTCGGAAAAAGCGTGGCTAAGAATGCGTTTCGGGGTGAAATAAGCCGCGACGGCGTTAACACGCACTGCTCGTGCAAGGTTTTGTGGCGCCGCAGCAGGTTCGAGTTCGTGGTAAAAATAGTGTGGTACACCTCGAAGCGGGTCACTAGGTTGTAGCTCTCGTTTCTCTTGATCGAATCGCAATATGTCCAGGCACGGTATCGTATCGACTGCGTGACCGCGCATCAGCGCGAAATCAATCTCTCTCCATCATTGACGCGCGCGAGACTATCGGGTTAATAGGATAGACATATTGTTTTCCGGTGTTACAGTGGACGAAGGGATTAAACACCGAGTGAAAAGCAAAAGTCTCGTTTAGTTTCAGTTTTTCAGGTCTGAAATTCGTTCATTTGCTACGTACGATACGTGAAATAGTAATATTTATAAAATTTAAAATTTAATAATATAGTTGTCAATTGCAAAGATTAATTACACAGAGAAGTAATTTGTCACATGGAATTTCTAATGTGTTTCTTATGTATTTTTATGCGTAGAATTACACAGAATAAACTCAAAAATTTCTCCGTCATTCACATTTTTTGCAACAGATACCTAAGATCTAAGGAGGTTCAAGCGTTTGACCAAGTAAACTTGTAATATATGCACGAAAAAAAATAAATTAAATTAATAATGTATAACAAAAAATTCAATAATTTTTATCATTTTTAAGATATTTGAAATCATAGTTGACATTTTTCGTATGTGTGTTCCTTAAGGTTAGCGGGAAATCTTAAATTTCTTTTCAAATAAAATTAAGATTTTTATAAAAAGGTATTATGATATTAAAGACTAATATACATTGGATACAAATTTCACGATTATTAATCATTTTGTTTGGAAAATACAATGCGGTAGTATAGTAGTATAGTAGTATAGTAATATTCGAAGTATATATTCATATACAAATATACTATATTTAGATACTTATATACTTTATTTTCTCTCTCTCTCTCTCTCTGCCAAAATTCTTATTTATATTATATCTGTAAGCTGAAGAGGTCTCTATCCTAGGATGTTAATAAAACTACTCTACTCTCTCTCTCTCTCTCTCTCTCTCTCTCTCTCTCTCTCTCTGCCTCTCTTCCTATTTATACGTTTTATGTATTTTACATTTACACTTTATTTTATATTTTATATTATTATACTTTATACATTATAAACACTTATACACTTCTTTTTATCACCTGTGCATCTTTGTTGGATCAATTGATGCATAAATAAACCAGTAATAAGAAAGATAAAAAAATAATATTTATTGCATTTATTGTATATATATGTACTCAACAACGTAATTACTATGAACAATATATTATATTACATATATATTCCTGCATGGATACATTTAATTATAAAAATTCATAAGAATGAACTATTTTTTTCCTTGTACACAATTTTTCTTTAATAAACACAAGATATGATACAAATTAATGCATTTTTAATTTTTAAAAGAGATATTACAAGCCAAATACAGTAGAAAATCATTAGTTTTATTAATTATATAAACCATGTTATATATATATATATATATATATATATATATATATATATATATATATATATATATA